AACTACATTTTTTATAATTAAATATATTTATTATTAATATTCGTTCTCTAATTCAGTTAATCTCTGTGAAATTCCACCTGTAATAGATTCTTAATTCGAGGTGGAAGCCCATTCATCCCATCTGCTAATCTGAGACAGAAATGCTGTGTTGGAGTTAGCTCTGTTGGTATTCTATTTATAAGCCAGTCATGGTGAATAAAACTACATTTTTATAATTAAATATATTTATTATTAATATTCGTTCTCCTAATTCAGTTAATCTCTGTAGAAATTCCACACCTGTAATAGATTCTTAATTCGAGGTGGAAGCCCATTCATCCCCATCTGCTAATCTGAGACAGAAATGCTGTGTTGGAGTTAGCTCTGTTGGTATTCTATTTATAAGCCAGTCATGGTGAATAAAACTACATTTTTATAATTAAATATATTTATTATTAATATTCGTTCTCTAATTCAGTTAATCTCTGTAGAAATTCCACCTGTAATAGATTCTTAATTCGAGGTGGAAGCCCATTCATCCCATCTGCTAATCTGAAGACAGAAATGCTGTGTTGGAGCTAGCTCTGTTGGTATTCTGTTATAAGCCAGTCATGGTGAATAAAACTACATTTTTATAATTAAATATATTTATTATTAATATTCGTTCTCTAATTCAGTTAATCTCTGTAGAAATTCCACCTGTAATAGATTCTTAATTCGAGGTGAAGCCCATTCATCCCATCTGCTAATCTGAGACAGAAATGCTGTGTTGGAGTTAAGCTCTGTTGAGTATTCTATTTATAAGCCAGTCATGGTGAATAAAACTACATTTTTTTATAATTAAATATATTTATTATTAATATTCGTTCTCTAATTCAGTTAATCTCTGTAGAAATTCCACCTGTAATAGATTCTTAATTCGAGGTGGAAGCCCATTCATCCATCTGCTAATCTGAGACAGAAATGCTGTGTTGGAGTTAGCTCTGTTGGTATTCTATTTATAAGCCAGTCATGGTGAATAAAACTACATTTTTATAATTAAATATATTTGTATTAATATTCGTTCTCTAATTCAGTTAATCTCTGTAGAAATTCCACCTGTAATAGATTCTTAATTCGAGGGTGGAAGCCCCATTCATCCCATCTGCTAATCTGAGACAGAAATGCTGTGTTGGAGCTAGCTCTGTTGGTATTCTATTTATAAGCCAGTCATGGTGAATAAAACTACATTTTTTATAATTAAATATATTTATTATTTAATATTCGTTCTCTAATTCAGTTAATCTCTGTAGAAATTCCACCTGTAATAGATTCTTAATTCGAGGTGGAAGCATTCATCCCATCTGCTAATCTGAGACAGAAATGCTGTGTTGGAGTTAGCTCTGTTGAGTATTCTATTTATAAGCCAGTCATGGTGAATAAAACTACATTTTTTTATAATTAAATATATTTATTATTAATATTCGTTCTCTAATTCAGTTAATCTCTGTAGAAATTCCACCTGAAATAGATTCTTAATTCGAGGTGGAAGCCCATTTCATCCCATCTGCTAATCTGAGACAGAAATGCTGTGTTGGAGTTAGCTCTGTTGGTATTCTATTTATAAGCCAGTCATGGTGAATAAAACTACATTTTTATAATTAAATATATTTATTATTAATATTCGTTCTCTAATTCAGTTAATCTCTGTAGAAATTCCACCTGTAATAGATTCTTAATTCGGGTGGAAGCCCATTCATCCCATCTGCTAATCTGAGACAGAAATGCTGTGTTGGAGTTAGCTCTGTTGGTATTCTATTTATAAGCCAGTCATGGTAGAATAAAACTACATTTTTATAATTAAATATATTTATTATTAATATTCGTTCTCTAATTCAGTTAATCTCTGTAGAAATTCCACCTGTAATAGATTCTTAATTCGAGGTGGAAGCCATTCATCCCATCTCTGCTAATCTGAGACAGAAATGCTGTGTTGTTGTTGGAGTTAGCTCTGTAGTTGGTATTCTATTTATAAGCCAGTCATGGTGAATAAAACTACATTTTATAATTAAATATATTTATTTTTTAATATTCGTTCTCTAATTCAGTTAATCTCTGTAGAAATTCCACCTGTAATAGATTCGAGGTGAAAGCCCATTCATCCCATCTGCTAATCTGAGACAGAAATGCTGTGTTGGAGTTAGCTCTGTTGGTATTCTATTTATAAGCCAGTCATAGGTGAATAAAACTACATTTTTTTATAATTAAATATATTTATTATTAATATTCGTTCTCTAATTCAGTTAATCTCTGTAGAAATTCCACCTGTAATAGATTCTTAATTCGAGGTGGAAGCCCATTCATCCCATCTGCTAATCTGAGACAGAAATGCTGTGTTGGAGTTAGCTCTGTTGGTATTCTATTTATAAGCCAGTCATGGCGAATAAAACTACATTTTTATAATTAAATATATATTTATTATTAATATTCGTTCTCTAATTCAGTTAATCTCTGTAGAAATTCCACCTGTAATAGATTCTTAATTCGAGGTGGAAGCCCATTCATCCCATCTGCTAATCTGAGACAGAAATGCTGTGTTGGAGTTAGCTCTGTTGAGTATTCTATTTATAAGCCAGTCATGGTGAATAAAATACATTTTTATAATTAAATATATTTATTATTAATATTCGTTCTCTAATTCAGTTAATCTCTGTAGAAATTCCACCTGTAATAGATTCTTAATTCGAGGTGGAAGCCCATTCATCCATCTGCTAATCTGAGACAGAAATGCTGTGTTGTTATTTGGAGTTAGCTCTGTGGTTGGTATTCTATTTATAAAGCCAGTCATGGTGAATAAAACTACATCTTTTTATAATTAAATATATTTATTTTTAATATTCGTTCTCTAATTCAGTTAATCTCTGTAGAAATTCCACCTGTAATAGATTCGAGGTGAAAGCCCATTCATCCCATCTGCTAATCTGAGACAGAAATGCTGTGTTGGAGTTAGCTCTGTAGTTGGTATTCTATTTATAAGCCAGTCATGGTGAATAAAACTACATTTTTTTATAATTAAATATATTTATTATTAATATTCGTTCTCTAATTCAGTTAATCTCTGTAGAAATTCCACCTGTAATAGATTCTTAATTCGAGGTGGAAGCCCATTCATCCCATCTGCTAATCTGAGACAGAAATGCTGTGTTGGAGTTAGCTCTGTAGTTGGTATTCTATTTATAAGCCAGTCATGGTGAATAAAGCTACATTTTTTTATAATTAAATATATTTATTATTAATATTCATTCTCTAATTCAAGTAGATAATATATGAGAGACCCTCCTCCTCATTATACTCCTCCTCCTCCTCCTCCTCTCACTAATATAATATACATTTCAAAAATATGTTAATTCCTACTACTTTCATCCCCACTTTATTCACCTAGTCATATATAGCTAGTAAGGTAGGTCTTTAGAAGAAAGTAAAGCGAATCTCTTATTCATCGAGAGTGATGCAATACAATAAGAAAAAAATAACTAATGTTGTTAGAAAGCTGATTCAAAAATATATTGATTTTCATCAATCTATTTCTCATCAAATAGTTTTAATTAATCAAAAAGATTTATTTTTGCCACTTAAAGAAGATTGTCATAGGATAACTGAGTTTTGTGCTGATTTTCTATTACAAAGGATTAATCTTTACGAGTTTGTGCGTGCATTGGGACATACATATTTTGCAAGTGAACTAACACACATTGTTCCATACCTGAGAGTAACGAAGAATTCAAAAGTTATAATAGAAATTTTAAAGGTGTTCGAGCGGTTCCATTTGGATGACGCTAGAGATCAGTTACTTCAAAGATTTAAAGACAAGTTACAACAACCCGGAGAAGTTAGAAGCACAATATCAAGAAAACATAGACCTCTTCGTCAATATCGTGCTCCGAAATATTTAAAAAACTATATTTTGTTTTAAGGTGAAAAATGTCAAGTGAGAATATTGAACTAATTAGTTCAGTAATATGTATTCATCAAGAATTTTATGAATCATTTCATGAGACTTATCAAAAACTTAGGCAGATGGAAAAAATATATTATGATATGATTCGTAAATATGAAAAAGGAATGAGTGCGTGTGCACAATATTATGAAAATTATGATACATTAGAATTATTCTCTGTAATGATAGACTTAGGCTTTATAAATCAAATAACATATTTAAATAAATTTGTTAAAGATCGGGGAATACCTTACGAACAAGTAACAGACGATGTAAACACTAACATAAATAGCAATTTAGTTAACCCGGATAATTCATCCAATAACTTAGTTGATGTAGAAGTACTAATTTAGTTAAAATTATATTTTAATAATAAAAGATGTTATAAATATTATATAGATTTTTATTCATTCATAAAAAAATTATCATACAAATATAAAACATTTGATAATGCACACATACAAGTTGACTTAGAATGATAAAAGCATTTTGGTGTTCCGATAGGCAAAGCAGGTTGTTCATCTATTTCAATCACTGGTTTTTTGGAATATTTCTTTACAAATTCTGCTTTTTCAGTTCCTTTAACATAAACAAATTCCACTTCAGGTTCTTCAGTGAGTTTTTCAATTATATTTGAAAAATAATGGTGAGGTGTAAATCCATCATTCCAGTTGATACAATGATGGTTTTTCATTAACCATACCGCCTGTCTGTGACATTCTGGTGACAGAAAGTCTAATGGATAGGGTTTCTTAAAGATATAATGTGATATTCTATGTCCATCAAAAGCTGCAAGTTCTTTAGGTAAAAAGGTGTTTTTCTCATCTTTAAATCCTTGTATATCCACAATCAACCTCATATTTTTAGTTCACTAAACTTTTTAATTAAACTTTTTTGTCTTGAGTAGTTTGCAATTTGTTCTTTCAATTTTTGTATTTTAAAAATAAAATTTTGTATTTCTAGTTGAAGTGTTGATGACATATCTACTACTACAGACACTATGTTTACTTATTTATATTAAATCTATGAGGGTGGGGGTAAAAGTTTATAATTGTTTGACAATCTTTGTTAAAGGATTGTAACTAAATAATTTATCATGTAAAATAAGACAATAAGCAGATGTGTCTTTTTTGATTGCACTGTTTGTTTCAAACTCAATTCTCATTACAACAGAACCCGTTTGAAGCGTTTCCTTTTGATGAGAACAATCAATATATGCAATTGGTGAAATCTCCTTGAATTTCTCAGGATTAAAAATGGGTTCATTAGAAGTACCATAATAAGAATAACGAAAATTGGCAAACATTTCATATAAAGATGAATATTTGTTCTCTTTGAAATTTAAATATAAGTCATGATAAGGATACCTTTCGGAATTTAAAAATATTCTAATATTTGTTAAATCTACATTGTCAAATTGACTCATATCTTTTTTAACATCTCCTTTTCGATTTTCTTGAAAGGCAATTATTACATGACGGGGAGCTTCCAGTTTGCTAGTTGTTTTTACAGGCCATGTGTGTCGTGTTGTTTCAGTTAGGGAAGAGTATTCAACAAGTTCCCAACTTCTAAATCCAATTAGTATATCTTTATTTGACTCCAGTATTCTAGTGAGTGCTAGTTGTTGTGGTATATCAACTGAAATATGTGGTACTTTCCAATAGATTTTATCGAAAGTAACTTTTGGGGTTTCTACAGTTGTAGATGGAGTTGTTACATCATCCTTAAAGAAAACTCCATCTAAGTCATTATTAGATCTAATAAGAACCAACTCTTGTTTCATGTTAATTATAATTTTTCTGTAATCTTCAAAGAATCCCATTAGCAGTTTTAGTGGTATAGATACGGAGAATTTTCCATTATCATCAACTAAAATTCTATCCTCTTCTTTTCTGTGTGGAAACCAACCTGCATTTTGCAGTTTTAAACTTTCATTTGTGTTACTGGATAGATAACTTTTTAATGTTGATGCTAGTCCTACATTTCTTAAGGTATCAATAGTAATACCATTTAACTCATAACGAATTTCTCTAAATAAGAAAGCTATACCATTGTTTGTAAATCGCAATCTCTTTGTATAATTTCCCTCTGTGTTTGTTAACTTTCCTTCGATATAAAGTAGGCTTTCTGATGGTAGAGTGTAAGCATCAAGTTCTTGGATTGGTATACGTATTTCATCATTATAATCAAATTTTGAAGAAATGTATGGTTGATAGGTATGTAATTCTGAACTAACAATAGAGTTATCAATATATAACTTTTCGTTTACATTTAATATGCTCATTATATTAAGACTTTAAAACCTAGCGATTTTAGAAAATTATGATTTTTTCGTGTTAATCGATTGGTGTTGGATTTGACACTGAATAATTTTTGTGTCAGTTTCTTTTTATAAGTTTTGATTTTTTTAGGAATAATAACTGGAGAATAATTTATATTACCTCTATTATATCTAACAACCATTTTATAAACCGTTTGTTTTTAAATGTAATCTTACTGTAATAGTCTCACCTCTGAAACTGATAAGATCTCCGTCTTGATCAACAATTTTTACTGTAATGTTGTTAATTGCTTTAACGCTGACTGGAAAATATAATATGGGTAAAGGAGATTCAACTATTTTATACCCTGGAGCTACAGCAGGATAAAATTGGTGAATAATATGAACAGGTTTTCCGTTATAAATGAACCAACACAGATATTACAATCAATGCAAATAGCGTTGACTTTACTTATATTAGCAACATTATCTGATTGATCTACTTTATCCGCTTCTATGATTCTACTTTTAAAACCTAGTATTTTTCCTATTGAATCATCTTTTGTAAAATCAATTTGTTTGCTACACATTAAGGTACATTTCAGGGTATTAGTATTAGGTTTTAATAAAAAAGCAACGTTTTCATATTCAAACACAGTTTTAACTTTGTCTTTTATATAGGTTTCTATATCAATTATATCATAAGTTCCATCTGGAATAACAATCACTTTATCACCTATATAAAGTTTATTGTGACCCTTTTCTATATTGGGTATAGTCATAAAAGTTTCAAAATCTGCTAAACCTAAGAAATATTGTTTCTCATCATCCAAATATATAGGTGGATTGAAATCAGCTGATAAAACTGAACTGTTTCCTGATATTGCTATTGTTGTAGACATTGTGTAAATGCTATTTTATTACATGTTGTTAGCTTATATATTATTTTTTAAGAATTTTAGAGAAAGTTGTCCGCAGTTGTATGAATTATTTTTTTGTTTATTTTCATATGTGTAAAATACTTTCACTTCACCATTTGAATTAAAATATTTTGAAAGTTCAAGAGGTGGTTTTAAATTTCCATAACTATCAAAGTATACAACATGATTATCATTTTTAATGTATGAAGTCAATGTGTTCCTTTATTTTGCTTCCTGTCTAAATTAACAACACCACACTCTTTTAAAGATATTGTATTTGGAAGTTCATCAAGCATAAATACACCTCTGAAATTAGGAATTTTCATTACCTTTACATACTTAATAATGTCAATATTTGTAAGCGGTCTACGTGGAAAACTTATGTTAATCTTTTGGTCTTTTTTTTTATACCAAGTTTACCACCTTTATACGGTTTTATAAAAAGTCCTTTTCCCTTATACGGTTTAATAAATAATCCCTTTCCCTTAGAAACATCCTCCATTGCAATATTATGTCTATGCATTTCTTCTAACTGCTGTTTAGATGCTTTAGCATCGTTGACTGCTTTGGCAATTCCTGCAGCACCTCCACCTAGTGCACCTAACGCTCCCAATATTGGGAGCAAAAGTGGTAAAAGTCCCCCAATTTTTTCAGGTGTTCGAATTATACGTTTTTTCTTCATGTTAAGCTTTCCACTTTTTTTATCCTTTTTCTTTTTTATACCCATTCCAAGCTTTCGTTTTCCCTTCATTATGGCAGCAACAGTTAATGCAGCTACTTTTTCACCGATTGAAGAATCCTTAGCTTTTACTCTATTCCAAGCCTGATCTCCTAACAGTTTATCAGATGCGTGTCTTTTTAATAAATCTTCAGATTGAGAGTATGCTATATCATGCTGTTTACAAGCAGCATCCAATGGATTTATACCAATATCCCCTCTGGCTATTCTCTTCTCCAATTTTGTACCCGGTCCACAGTAGTTATATCCTGGTATGTGAAATTCGAAGGGAAGGTTGGTAATTAATTTGTTTACTAAACCAAAACCTTTTTTTCGTCTCCTATTTATAGTTTTGTTCACACTGGAGTGATGCACAATCATTAAAACGTATTTAAATACGAAAAATAAACTATTGCTGCTAGGGTATAAATACTTTTACACACAATGGAATATATTAGTAATTTTAAAAATGAAGATCGAAAAACAAAAATTCTCTTTACCTATTAAGAACTATGATGAAAAAGTTTCACACAAACAATTTAGGAAACATGTAGCTTTGTTTGGTGGTGGCTCGAAAAGAGGATTAATTGTTGATTGTAGTGGAAGTGGTAAAACTAATGTTATGTTAACATTGCTTGAACATCCTAATGGTATTAGGTTCGAAAATGTTTATATATATTCAAAATCATTAGATCAACCGAAATATAAATATTTAAGACAACTATGCACAAGACACAACACAAAATAAAAATGAGTAACGAAAACACTGAAACCATAAAACTTATTTCAAGAACTTCTTGAAAGTACACAGTCTGTCGTAACTGCAGATGGTTTTATACTTGCTCCCTACTTTAACCTTCTACTGGTTGCATTCCTATCCAACCAGTTCTTTCTCATCATAAGTCATTGATCCTACTATATCCCCTCACCCTCCTTCACCCCTCATCCAAAACATCATTTTTTTTTTTTTACTAAACACCAAAAAACACCATTTTCCTTGAAAGTTCATTGACCTTTGGAGTGTAAAAACTGGTTCTCAAAGTTAATGCTTTTACAAGGTTCTCTTTCAGTTTCTTATAAATGGATAAATTTGAAATAGAATATATCGAAAATAAAACTTGAGTTCGTGCTGTACAGAGGTATAGAGAGACAACACAGGTATGATTTTGTGTATATATTATTACTATTTTTTCTATTTATTTATTATTTTGTTTTGTGTGTGCAATTTTTCCAGATATGGATTTTTTTCTACGCATTTTTGAATTCTTCGTGAACAGGCAACAGACCGAAGAAATAATTGATAAAAAATTAGATATTTTGGAGCAGAGAGATACCAACAACGTAGAAGGATTGGCTCCGGAAGATGTTGAAGATCCAAACGACTCCGGATGTGAAGATAATGTCGCATCTGACACCCATAAGGCGATTAGGGCAAAGTATATTGGTGTAACAGAGTATCAAGAAGCCCTAGAATCCGGAGTGTTTTGTGTCTTCAAACATTATGTGCGAGTCACGATAACTACTAACGTGTTGGGTACTTTTCGTCAGTTGGCACTGTGTGGAGAGTGTTATTATAGACACCAACTCATGGTTCCATATGGTTCCCATGAGCATATGTCTTCGCACTTCTCCACAAAACTGTTACCTGAAGAAATTAATAAAATGAAACGTGGTGGAAAATGTGCAGTGTGTACACTAACATATATTATAATGCATCCTACATGTTGCTATATTTGCAATGGGAAGAATTTTTCAGTGGAAATGTAGTAATATATAGGATGCATTATTTTATTTATTTTTGGTATGTATTATATTTTGTTTTATTATATTATATTTTTAAATTATATATTTTAGTTTTGTAATTAGTTATTAAGTTACTATTTTATAATTTTATTTGTATTGTTTAAATTATATATTTTAGTTTAGTAATTAGTTATTAAGTTACTATTTCTAAAATTTTATAATTTTATATACTAGTATAGTATTTAGTTAAACATTTGTAATAAGTATTTTTTTTATTTATTAATATGTGGTAATTTAGAAGGGTATATGCTATTATTTTAACGTAAAAATGTTTAATAGTTATATCTAGTAACATATACATATTTATAAGTAGATACTTCACAGTTATAGGGTAAATAGGTATATCCAAAGACTATTTAGGTTCATAAACAATGTTTTAATTTATATAAACAATATTTAATTATAAACAATATTTTAACTTTATAACCTAACTTAAAGTTGTTAAACTAAAATATACTTTATTCAGAATATGTATTTTGAATAAAAATATAAGCATCATTTTCTTTTTAGAAATTAAATCCTCTTTTTATGTGATTGTAAAAATGATGTCTAATTACATGTTCTTGAATCTGCACCAAATATGTATAACTTGAACAACACATTGGACATTTCATCTTTAAACCACTTTGTACATCATTCCATTTCAATATACAACTTAGACAAAGTGTGAACACGTATTTGGCATACAACTTTCATAAGAAATCAATCATTTCATAACAAATAGCACAAAAGCACTTTCATACTTTCTTGTACATTTTCATTTTTTAAAGTAGTTAAACTTTCTACTTCTTCTCTAGGAGGAGAGTCTAACACACTAAAAGATTGACGTTGAGCACTAAGAACAGATTGATCTGATAATTGCAATGGAAAAATTCTACTAAATCACTCATTTTAAATCAATTTTTAAATTATTATACTAGATATTATTCTTACTGATGTTGAAACTAGATATAAACGAAAATCTTAAGAATAAATAACAAAATATATTGGAAATAAAAAGGAGTAGGGGAAAGGGTAGAATTAGTAGTGGGGGGAGGAGGAGGAGTATAATGAGGAGGAGGGTCTCTCATATATTATCTACTAATTCAGTTAATCTCCGTAGAAATTCCACCTGTAATTGATTCTTAATTCGAGGTGGAAGCCCATTCATCCCATCTGCTAATCTGAGACAGAAATGCTATGTTGGAGTTAGCTCTGTAGTTGGTATTCTATTTATAAGCCAGTCATGGTGAATAAAACTACATTTTTTTATAATTAAATATATTTATTATTAATATTCGTTCTCTAATTCAGTTAATCTCTGTAGAAATTCCACCTGTAATAGATTCTTAATTCGAGGTGGAAGCCCATTCATCCCATCTGCTAATCTGAGACAGAAATGCTGTGTTGGAGTTAGCTCTGTAGTTGGTATTCTATTTATAAGCCAGTTATGGTGAATAAAGCTACATTTTTTTATAATTAAATATATTTATTATTAATATTCGTTCTCTAATTCAGTTAATCTCTGTAGAAATTCCACCTGTAATAGATTCTTAATTCGAGGTGGTAGCCCATTCATCCCATCTGCTAATCTGAGACAGAAATGCTGTGTTGGAGTTAGCTCTGTAGTTGGTATTCTATTTATAAGCCAGTTATGGTGAATAAAGCTACATTTTTTTATAATTAAATATATTTATTATTAATATTCGTTCTCTAATTCAGTTAATCTCTGTAGAAATTCCACCTGTAATAGATTCTTAATTCGAGGTGGAAGCCCATTCATCCATCTTGCTAATCTGAGACCTTAGAAATGCTGTGTTGGAGTTAGCTCTGTAGTTGGTATTCTATTTATAAGCCAGTCATGGTGAATAAAACTACATTTTTTATAATTAAATATATTTATTATTAATATTCGTTCTCTAATTCAGTTAATCTCTGTAGAAATTCCACCTGTAATAGATTCTTAATTCGAGGTGGAAGCCCATTCATCCCCATCTGCTAATCTGAGACAGAAATGCTGTGTTGGAGTTAGCTCTGTAGTTAGTATTCTATTTATAAGCCAGTCATGGTGAATAAAACTACATTTTTTATAATTAAATATATTTATTATTAATATTCGTTCTCTAATTCAGTTAATCTCTGTAGAAATTCCACCTGTAATAGATTCTTAATTCGAGGTGGAAGCCCATTCATCCCATCTGCTAATCTGAGACAGAAATGCTGTGTTGGAGTTAGCTCTGTAGTTGGTATTCTATTTATAAGCCAGTCATGGTGAATAAAACTACATTTTTTTATAATTAAATATATTTATTATTAATATTCGTTCTCTAATTCAGTTAATCTCTGTAGAAATTCCACCTCTAATTGATTCTTAATTCGAGGTGGAAGCCCATTCATCCCATCTGCTAATCTGAGACAGAAATGCTGTGTTGGAGTTAGCTCTGTAGTTGGTATTCTATTTATAAGCCAGTCATGGTGAATAAAGCTACATTTTTTTATAATTAAATATATTTATTATTAATATTCATTCTCTAACTCAGTTAATCTCCGTAGAAATTCCACCTCTAATTGATTCTTAATTCGAGGTGGAAGCCCATTCATCCCATCTGCTAATCTGAGACAGAAATGCTGTGTTGGAGTTAGCTCTGTAGTTGGTATTCTATTTATAAGCCAGTCATGGTGAATAAAACTACATTTTTTTATAATTAAATATATTAGAGAATTATGGCACGCGCCGATAGTGGCAGTCACTAATAAAAACATTCTTATTCTGACATTGTTGACAGTTACGCATGCGCAGTTTTAACGACAAATAAGGACGGTCACTAATAAAATAAAACCCTTCCTTATTTGTGACAAGATAGTGAAAGGCAGTATTTTGTCACTATTCATGTCGTTATTTTAGGCGCATGCGCAACAAATTTTTATACAGATCTGTGGGTGCGCCTTCGTTTATGATCTTAAGATCAGAACCTGTAGAGCGTCGCGTCGTGTCAGAACAGTGTCAGAACGTGTGTTACTTTTTAACTTTTTGCCTTTTGCTGTTTTTGTTGCCTTTATTTTTAATAATGAATAGCTGTAATAAGTCTACTAGGTTGCGATTCACCTACGAAGACGACCTAGTATTATTGCGGGAGTTTTTAAATGTCAACCCCATAATAAACCTACAAGGATGGGAAATTATTCAATCGAATGTGGCCATCACAACGGGCAAAAATTATTTAATAAAAACGCTGAAACAGCACGTTCAACGCCTAATTGAATTGTTCTTAAATAAAATTAAAGTTGACGAAATTAGGTAAGTCAAAACCATTAATTCAAATGTAAATACACCCCTATAAACAAAGTTTTTTTTAGATCGGGAATTGAGGAACCCCCCTGTGAAAAAAATATTTTGCTCCAGGAAGTAAGTTCCCTTGTACAGGAACATAAATATGATTTTAGAAAAAAGAGATCCACATCATCGTCCTCATCTAAGGATCACATGATCATGGAAATGGGGAAGAAACCACGAGAAGCCTGTCCCCAAACATTTGGAGAGATAGAAGAAGGATTGGTGGAAGAGGAAGTTATTAATGAGGTTCCAGCACCAATGGCTGTAGATGAGCACTGCTATTTTAGTAAGTTTAATCTTGCAAATAGAAAACAAAGTAATGAAATATTAGAATGTTATTAACTTATGTTTATATTGTCTATGTATTAGGGGTTAATAATTCAAATTTTTAGACTACCACAAATGAAAATCCTACTTTTTTATTGTTTATTATTAGTTCATCAACTAATTTTAGTTGTTCTGATAGACTGATTATTACTCTTTTTAGTTCACGAAGAGGCACCTCAAGAAGAGATTATAGTGGAAGAAATAACTAAGCCTACAGTTCCTCCCACCCCTAGCACTTCCAAGCAGAGTAAACCAACTCCTGCTAGTAGAAAAAAAATCTTAGGTAGGCTTTACCTATAGTTCCTTATAATTATTACTATGTGTATACCCATATCATGATTTTTAGAGCCAGTTATTTTTTAAGTAAATTATATTATAATATTTTAGTTATCCTTAAATATTTTTTATAGGTCAAACTAGAAAAAAAGAGCCCTTGAGAAAAAATGCCCTGCTATATCTACAAGAGAAAAATGAGAGGGAAAATAATATTAAAATTAAAGAACTCGAGTTGGAGGAGAGAAAGATTTTAATTGAAGAGGAAAAACTTTCGCTAAAACGAGAAGAAATGCGGTTACGAGAAAAAGAGTCGGAACTACACCACAAAGAGGTGATGGCTAAATTAGAGGCTGAAAAAAATCGTGGCGACCTAGACATTGCAGAAAGAAAACTATCAATACAATTGATGCAATCACAGCAAAAGTTGATTGACCAATTGCTCCACAAGGAATAAAATGTTTTTTTCTACATAGATTATTTTATTTTTTTCAGTCGCTTTTTTTTTAGTTATTAGTATTTAGTTTTTTTTAGTTCACTTAAATTAGTTGTAGGTATGTTAGTTAAGTAAAATGTAGTTGTAAAAATAAAAAATTGTTATAGAAAAGTAGGTTTATTATTGAATTCCAAAATATACATTTATGTTTGGTGGTACAATATTAAAATATGTTGCCGTCTGGCTTCCATAAAGACATGTATGACAGTTCGTCAATAGCACTGTTGTTTTATACATTGACTCGACATCTTGCATGAGAAGCTTCTGGTTTTTTCTAAAATCTATGAATGCGAACTGTCCTACTACTTTTTGGAAGCCCCATTCAACAGATACCCTCAACCTTTTCATTGACTGGTTAAACTGCTCTTGATACGGTTGTAGATCTGCAGGTCTGCCTTGGTATGGTGTTATTAGTAAATCCATTAAACCATAGGCTTGGTCTCCATATAAAGAAAATTTTTCACCAGGACCGAAATTAGCTACATGCTCTAGCTCATTATATAGTCCTGATTCCCGAAATATTCCAGCATCGTGTCTTCGGCCTGGAAATGCACCTTTTAGGCCTACAATAATCCCATCTGGATACAGCACAGACTGGTATTTAAGGCAATGGAACCTTTTGTGCCCTGAATAATAATTTTCTTGTTCCACTGATGGACGGCATATTTGTCTTGGAGTGCCGTCAATAAAGCCCCAACAGTTTTGCATAGCACCACCTTTTGCATGAACAGCCTAAAGATAAAAGTAAATAAACAACTGGGAAGTGTAAGTGTTACATTAAACGGATCTTAATTAATTATATAAAACTGATCTACTAACCTGGGAGTAATATGTCATTTTATTTCTATCCAACCATTGTAGGTCTTGTAAATTATTTAACAATCTTCCATTATTTGCCAGAATTATATCTGTTGTAGCTCGAACAACTTCAGATATTGATTGTGGGGATAAACTGAAGATGGATCTGCAAAATCCAGATCGAGAAATCTGTTATTATAATTAGCTACAGCGTTATATTGAATTAGGTTAAAGAAACTAGCAAAATTCATCAATGAAGAGATGTTTTCTCACGTTAATTGAATTAATAAACAAAATCAGGTAAATTAAAATCTCCAGTAAATAAAATATTAGAATTGTAGAGTAATCTGTACATTGTTTCAAAAGTTGAAATTATAATCCAGAAATTTTTGCATTAGGTGGAATATATACAATAAAAACATAAAATATATAAGGAGTAGTTTGACGTAATTTTTAAGGCTAAGACGTCAATATTTATTGGAAGTTCGGATAAAACAATCTGTGATACCGAAAATATATTTCGAACTGCTAAGACCACACCACCACCCCTGCTATACGACAATTGCGCATAATTTCGATCTTTCCGGAAAACATTATATCTAGCGTCAAACAACTCCGTATCTAAAATATCTGAGTTTAACCATGATTCACTCAAGGCAATAATATCGAAGTCCGTACACAAAATTGCATTATAAATCTCATTTGTTTTACTTCGCAGGCCTCACACATTCTGGTAATAGACCGAAATCGTTTTATTTGTATTGTTTTTAATATATTTAGATCTGTTCCTAAGACAAGTATAATTATCAGAAAGTACGCGCCGTTCAGACACAGATCTATACTCCGTTTCCCCTATGAAATTCACTAATTGCTACTTAGATGGTAGTATCTCAGATTTAACATTTTCCAAATTTTGGCTTGTAAACATAATCATTCTGTGGTCCCAGGCAGCGTGACTTATGGCGATGCCAATTTTTTGTTTCTCTTTTAAATTCAAAACAGTTACTACCTTATAATGGATTTTATCAGCTTTACATTCCTTGACTGTGTGCTCCTCAGAGCACAGTGGACAACACTGAGAACTTGAATTTTTAGAAGTATGATTGTAACCATTACATTGAAAACAGCGAGAAATATCTAAGGATTCATAAATAGTACAGGTGTCTAAACCTACGTTTAACTTACCGATCCCTAACATATTCTTGAACGTGACAGAGTCAACCTGCAGTTTGGCTTGATATATATGTTTATTACGTTTAGTAGCCCACACTTTTAAAACTTTCAACTGGGCCTGATCGGCAATAAGATGCTTTTGCTGAAAACTAATTAACTTGATGAGGCTGTCCTCTTCATAATGTTTAGAAAGACCAACAATCTTAATCACTGTTGGTCGTTTTCACTTCGTATCTATCCGGGACGGCTTCTCTGAGACAAAGAATGAAATCTTGATGCAACATCGGGATTTGTACTGAGCACATAACCACCATTAGCAACTGGCTTAACTTTCTCAAATGCAATATGAGTAATACTATTTGATTCGATTTTCTGCATTATATCCAACTTGGTCACCAAATTCGGTTGGTCCTGATTTCTCGGTTTGACAATAATCTTTCTAGAAGGGATCGACTTAACCATCTCTGAATATTTTGGGTAAGTGATCTGATGTTCATTAGATCCACCTGGTGCAATATCAGCTTTTGAACCGCATTTAGAGCAAGGTATGAATTTCATTTTTGCTGTTTCGTTCATTTATCAATAAAACTCTTCATTAAGTCATCACACTTACTCTGCAACATATCTTTCATTTTGGTTTTCGTAACATCGAACAAACTCTGCATGGCTACGCGACACTTCAATTATATTCCATTATTAGAATTCAAGGTGCTGATCCATTCAGGTGAAACTGACGCACAATCGGCGTGAAATTTTTTCCGGCAAATTCCTCCACACGTTATCATCGGCCTCCGCGCCGAGGAATCACAAAAACCACACTTGGACATTTTTAGAATTAAATTATCCCTCAAAGAATAAAACTGCACTGCATGCACAAATTTTGGAATAATTACTTGATTTCATAATCACTATATTATTCTCTAAACTTCGACGAATCTGTCGATATTAAATTTGAAGTAAAATACTTCGTAAAACAACTACAATTTATAAAATTTTACGGAGCGATTTCTGCCTGCACATTTGCTACGAGTCCACCGGAACGAATTGAATAAATATATTTCCGCTCCTCACTTCAAACTCGAAGACTACAGAACAGTTAATAAACTTATATCTTTACAAAACCTATATCTTTACAAAAATTATGAAACAGGTGGCCAAATATTTACGCATTAAGAACATTTTATTAGTAATATATCTGGATGACATTTTAATTATAGCTCAGAACAAACTTGAAGGTGAAATTAATATCAAATTTGTGGTTAATCTTTTAAACACTTTAGGTTTCATTATTAACACAGAAAAATCCAATTTAATCCCGTCCCAAACAATAACTTACCTAGGGTTTTCTTATGACGTGAATAAAATGATTTTTTCGTTATCAATAAAGAAAATACTTTCACTAAAAACCCTAATTATCAAAACGTGTAAAAAATCTATTGTTACGATCAGAGACTTTGCGAAAGTTATTGGAGTGTTGGTGGCGGCAGCCCCAACGATCCCACACTGTCGTCATCATATTAAAATATTAGAACGTGAAAAATTTAAAGCCCTTAAAGGAAAAACATATAATAGTACAATGGTACTTTCTCATCACATAAAAAATACTTTAGATTGGTGGATCCAAAATATAAATTTTTCTGAAAACATTAAACCTAAAGTTTTTTCTTTAGAAATATTCTCTGATGCGTCCCCTACAGGATGGGGCGCTTATTGCAATGACATGAATGCAAGGGGTTTTTGGCAGGAATCAGAAAAATTACAACATATTAATTACCTTGAAATACAAGCTGCTTTTTACGGCTTAAAATCTTTTACCAAAACAAAAAAGAATATTCGAATTTTGTTAAGAATTGACAATAAAACCGCCATAGCCTGTATAAATCGGGGTGGGAGCGTAAAATATCGAAACCTTAGCGAGATAACCTATCGGTTTTTATCGTGGTGTGAACAGAATAAAACAACATTATTTGCTTCCTACATTCCTTATAAAGAAAATACAGAAGCTGACAGGGGATCAAGAGAAAAGTCGATTGGATCTGAATACGAATTACATAAACAGATTTCTAACAAAATAATTAGAGTTTTTGGGGAACCGGAAATAGATCTTTTTTAACCGGAACTAACCTTAATAAAAAATGTAGTAGATATATTTCTTGGGTTCCTGACCCAAATTCAGTAGCAGTAGATGCTTTTACAACTTCTTGGGCAAAAACTTACTTTTATGCCTTCCCCCCATTCTCAATGATATCCAAAACGCTAGAAAAAATTATTCAGGAACAAGCCACTGGCATATTGGTAGTACCTATGTGGCCATCGCAGCCATGGTACCCTTTGTTTATATCATTATTAGTTGAAAAGCCATTATTGTTTAAACCTAAGGAAACTTTACTTCTTTCTCCCTTTAGAGAGCCTCGTCCTCTACAGAGAACACTTTTAATAAAAAATGTAGTAGATATATTTCTTGGGTTCCTGACCCAAATTCAGTAGCAGTAGATGCTTTTACAACTTCTTGGGCAAAAACTTACTTTTAAGCCTTCCCCCCATTCTCAATGATATCCAAAACGCTAGAAAAAAATATTCAGGAACAAGCCACTGGCATATTGGTAGTACCTATGTGGTAGTACCTATCGCAGCCATGGTACCCTTTGTTTATATCATTATTAGTTGAAAAGCCATTATTGTTTAAACCTAAGGAAACTTTACTTCTTTCTCCCTTTAGAGAGCCTCGTCCTCTACAGAGAACACTTTTAATAAAAAATGTAGTAGATATATTTCTTGGGTTCCTGACCCAAATTCAGTAGCAGTAGATGCTTTTACAACTTCTTGGGCAAAAACTTACTTTTAAGCCTTCCCCCCATTCTCAATGATATCCAAAACGTAACATTAAGCAAAATTGATATTACTAACATAGACACTACTTCATCAGACAAAATTGAAATTCGAATCTCTGCAAAACTAAAAACTTCAGCCCCTTACAAAAAACAACCTGTCTTAACGTTTCCTTTTTTCGACAAACCAGAATTATGTGTATAACCTCTACTCTCAAACACTATATACAAGTCACAAAACATATTCGCTCAACTTGCACTTCACTATTTATAACACATAAAAAACCTTACCATACCGCGACAACACAGACCTTGAGTAGGTGGATCAAGTTAGCACTAAAAAACAGCGGCATAAATGTTAGTGTTTTCACGGGATATAGTGTTCGCCATGCGGCAACGTCCGCGGCTTACAAATCAGGGGTAAATATAAATGTCATTAAAAATACAGCGGGATGGAGCCCAAATTCAGATGTTTTCTTTAGGTTTTATAATCGTCCTCTAGGCACGCCTAATGAGATTTTTGCTAATTTCATATTAAATTTAGATTTAGTTTAACGTTCATAATATATAGTTTATAGTAAATAAAGAAATTATTCTTCTTTCTTTGTAATATGTATTTAAAATATCGCTGATTTTTTCCATACCGGACGATATAATTTTTTTTTTATTATGTTTTTTCTGTTACGTTTCATTATATTATATTATACCTTATTCTAAGCCTAGCTATTGCTATAAATGTAATCACGTATTAATAAATTGTTTTTTGATTTTGTTGAAAATATTATTGGTTGGTATTGAGAGTGATTACCGCAAAATTGCACTGGCTAGCTTTTAACCGCTGCAAGGTAATCATATCGGAAGACAAGCGAAGGAAAATTAATAGATTAATCATAATTTTTCGAGCTTGTCTTCCGATATGATTACAACCCACCCAACCACCTACCCCGTGGGAACAATTTTGCTTGAAAACAGAATTATTCAGGCCGGCGGGACGGGGCAATGGGTCGGAGAGGCGATAAAAAACTGTTTATATTTCTTTTAAAACGTATCGATGGATGTGAATCAGCAAAAACTACAAGGTAATCATATCGGAAGACAAGCTCGAAAAATTATGATTAATCTTCATACAGGTAAGTATTCGATT